TGTCTGTGTGTGTCTGTGTCTCTGTGAGTGCGTGTCTGTGTGTGTGTGTGTGTCTCTGTGTGTGTGTGTCTCTGTGGGTGCGAGTGTGTGTGTCTGCACGTGTGGGTGTGTCCGCGTGTCAGTCTGTGTGTGTCTCCGTGAGGGCGTGTCTGTGTGCGTGCGTGTGCACGTCTGCGTGTGTGTGGCCCATCACCGCCTGGAGCACACTAGACACTTGCCCTGCTGGTCAGCTCGCCTTGTCCTCTGGACGCTTCCTAGAAGTACGGATTTCTCCCCAACCCGCTGCCTCTGTGGCCTTCCTTGACGCCGGGGGGGTGTCGGTTGGCTTTAGGGTGTCTCCCTCCTGACCCTGAGCTTCTGAGGGAAGAGCACAGGCTATTATCACAGCCATAAAAATGCATGAGGCACAATGAACGAGATACCCCTTCACATCACTGGGGGCTGAAAATAATGACAACAATAAAACAGAAGGGAAATGACAAGGAGGAGAGAGTGGAACGCGCGGGGGGTGGGGGTAGCCGGGGCCATCGCTGTGGACAACAGTTTGGTGGTTCCTCAAAAATGAAACATCGTGTATGACCCGATAATCCCAGTCCTGGGTGCGTCCCAGGGACCTGAGAGCTGGGTCTCCCTCCGATGCCCACACGCGGCACTGGTCACGGCAGCCGGACCGTGGGAACACGCCGGTGTCCACCAGCAATGAATGGCCGCACAGAATGCCATCCATCCTTCCCACGCTTACCCAGGCCCTCGGCCGCGCTGGCCTCTGCTGTGTCCCTTTCAGGGTCCTCGGCCCCCCAAGAGGGCAATTCCGGGGCCTTATGGAGCCCCTTAGCCCCACGGGGGCCCTACATTCAAATGCTTTTCCCACCACTGCTCGCGGCCATCTCGGCCTCAGTCTCCCCGCTTGGGGGGTTGTTGTGCCTGAGCCCTTTCCAGACCCTCAGATGTCCTCCTCGAAACCCCCCAGGCAGCACCACCAGGGAGGGGCCTGCAGGGGTCACAGCTCTGCGGTGCCTGTCCCCCCAGCGCCCTTCCTTAAGCACTGCCAGTTCCACGGGCCCATCATTTCCCGGCTGCAAAGCGCCCTCTGGTGGGAACACGGGGGGTTGTCGGGGACTCTGGAGGAAGCCAGAACTGGGCGGACCCCCAAGGTCAAGGGCGGAAGGCCAGGGGCTGTCTGGGGACAAAGCCCTGTCCACGTGAGTCCTGGGGGACGAGAGCGGGGAGCACATTGGACGGGATGGGGGAGGGGACAGCGACCTCGTGTTGTTGACTGTCTCCACGGTGCAGATGAGGCCGGGAAGGGAGGTGTCACCAGCGCTCTCATCCCAGGGACCCACTTCCTTACACCCGCCTCTGCCCCCAGGCCGGGGCCACCCTTCCAGGCCGGGCACGCTGGGGTTGCAGGCTCGGGCAGCCCTCCGTGCATAGGGGGTGCCAGGCCTCCGAACCCCCTGCCTGGCCCAGCGGCGGTCCCCCAGCCCTGATCCTGACTCTACCCATGGAGGACAGCAAAGACGCCCCGGCAGCCCAGAGCTGAGGGGCGGATCTGGGAAGGGTGACATTGAGATTTACTGTAAGAAATACAAGTTTGGTCTTCGTCGCGTCCCCACCTCTGGCACGGAGCTCTTAAAACTTCTGGAATTTCCTGAGTGCAGAGGGTGAGAAAGGTGTCTTTTGTTATGTTGATGAGGTGACTCCCGTTAAGCACCAAAGAATGGGGGCTGGTCACGCAACCAAGTGATTAAAGGCTTGGAACTTTTAGTCCTACCTCCCCATCCCCGACCTCCGGGGAGGGGAGAGAGGCTGGAGGTTGACTCGGTCGCCGATGGCCAATAACTTAATCAGTCGTGCCAAGGTAAAAAAGCCTCCATAAAAATGCAGAAAGGACGGGGTTCTGAGAGCTTCTGGGCTGACGAAGCCACAGAGCTGCTGGGTGGGCGCGGCTGAGGAGGGCGTGGGAGCTCTGTGCCTCTCCTCACACCTCGCGCTGTGCAGCTCTTCCACCTGGATGTTCTTGAGTTTTATCCTTTTATAATAAACCAGTCATCTAGTAAATGCAACGTTTCTCTGAGTCCTGGGAGCCGCATTAGCAAATTCATGAGGAGGGGGTCGTCAGAGCTTCCAATTTATAACCAGCAGGTCAGAAGCACAGGTGACAACCTGGACTTACAACTGGCCTCTGAAGGGTGGGAAGCAGTCTTGTGGGACTGAGCCCTTAACCTGGGGGCTCTGACACCACCTCTGGGTAGATAGTGTCAGAACTGAGTTGAACTGTGGGACCCCCAGCCTGTATCTGAGTAACTGAGACTCCTAATACCCCACTATGGAAAACTGAGGCTGAAGGGGGCAGGTCTTGTCCAGGGACTGTAACACATAAGGGCAAATCCAGGTTCAAAACTGGACCCAGTGGGTGGAGAAGACACTTCCCCTCTTTTTTTTTTTTTGTTTTTTTTCCCGATACGTGGGCCTCTCACTGTTGTGGCCTCTCCCGTTGAGGAGCACAGGCTCCGGACGCACAGACTCAGCGGCCATGGCTCATGGGTCCAGCTGCTCCGCGGCATGTGGGATCATCCCGGACCGGGGCACGAACCCGTGTCCCCTGCATTGGCAGGCGGACTCTCAACCACTGAGCCACCAGGGAAGCCCAGACACTTCCCCTCTTTTTAGTCTCTAAAATACCACCATCACCTCCACCATCGTCACCATCACCATCACCACCTCCACCTCCACTTGCCAAAGAAGGCTTCGCAGCCACAGTAGTCACGGCCCAGGCACCACTCTGGACTTGACAAATACAGAGTATAGACAAATCATCATCCCAGATCTGCCCAGAGGCTTCTCCTGGAGAAACAGAGACAGACAGCACAGCCGGATCCAGGTTGAGATGGGAGAGCAAAGGGGCTGTGGGGGGCCAAGGGGAGGGAGCATCTAAAGGCTACCTGGGACAACCAGGAGGGCTCCCTGGAGGAGATGCCAGACTCTTCAGGGGCTGAAGAGGAGTTTCAGGAGTCTTCTGGTGAAGGTCTGGGGGCAGGAGATCTAGGCAGTGTGTTTAAAATAGAGCACGAGGGGTCCCTGACCCCTCTGTGTGGCTGGAGGGGGTGGTGGGAGCTGGGGCTGGGGGCTCAGTGCAAGTGGGTTTGCCAAGGGTGGGTTGCAGGACTGTGCTCCTGGGAACCTCAGGGAGGTGCCTGCAGGGTCTGTTGGGGGCAGGCAGGCATTGTCACCCCATTTTACAGATCAGAACCCTGAAGCTTCTGA